AAAACTGCGCTAAAAATCTTATCTCTTTAAGTTACCTGGTACATGCATCTTGTTGCAGTAATGCAAAGCTGATTAATACCACGGCCCACCGTTCAAAGAAAACGTGCATCTTTTAAAATTCTTTTTTTTTTGGGGGGGTAAATCTTTAGAAGTATTCTCACACAGCTTCCCTGTAAACTGCTGTCATAAAGGAGCAGAGGATGCTAGGACAACTAGTAGCATCACATGGGAACTAACATGGCGAGACAAATTTTCACTGAAATTGACCAGTATACAGCCATGGACTTGCAATAACATATAAGAACATTCATTTGTCAAACTTATAGCACGTATATTTTTGAAACTGGATGTAATTCATGTATTTGACTCAAAAATACTTAATTCCTTCATTGTAACAGAAAGCGAAAGAAGGCATTTCTTTCTCATACTATTGAAACTCTATCTGAACTTTCCTCACTTATTTTCAACCTGTCTCTTCGCTGTCCGCAGTTGCTCCTGTGTGAGTAAAATGAAGAGCAGAGGCAGCTGACAGAGACGCCCAACTCTCCAGCCAAGGCCAGACCCACCCAGCAGATCACGCCCCTAGCTATTTACACAAAACACCTGGAACAGAGCAAGCTGCTTCTTTTAGACAAAAGGGATCCACCACAAAGATCCACGAGCTGTAAAAAACTATCTTCCCATCAGTTAACAGAAATGTTCATGGCCTGAGACAACATATCAGAGATCCTGACAAAAGCACCTGTTTACAAAGAAAGAAAAAGCAATCTTTTCATAGATAGCTATTTCAGGATCTATGAGGAACATCCACAAGCCCCAGCACAGCAGCATCTCCCAGAAGAGCAACAATCGCATTAGTGATGCTGGAGACACTGGTACCAACCTGGATCCGCAGAGCAAACAGCAGGAACAAGGGAGAGAAAAATCAGGGCTGCGAGTGTATCCAACATCGCTGCCAGGGGACTATTCTCAGGCTCACACAACAGGTGCTGGACTTCCTGTTTTGGAGTAGAACTATTCTTCGGCAAGACATTCAATGCTTCTTTCAAAGCTTCTTCCTCTGGGAAGTTGATGAGCACAATAGCCACACCCCAGAGGGTGGGGGTTCTTCATAGTGGTTCTTCCAGGGCCAGAGTTGTGGTATAGTAGCTTACAGCTACTCCCATATGGTACCAGTTTGAGCTGAACTGCTACTCTTCAGACCTAACTCACTGTGAATGCACCTGGGAGAGCAATGGAGGATGGCTCAAGTCTTGGGTCCCTGCTACTCACACGGGAGACCCAGACAGAGTTCCTGGCTCCTGGCTTCAGCCTGGCTCAGTACTGACTATTGCAGGTATTTGGGGAGTGAACCAGCAGATAAAGATCTCTCTTTTGTACTCCTTTCCACTCTCCCACTGTCACTCTGCCTTTCAAACAAATATATAAAAAAAAAAGGTATGTCCAATGAAGAGGAGTGCGTCTGTGGCAGAGCCAGACTATCCAGGTATGGTCCAAGCAGCAGGCACAGATAATACTACTGTTTTCCAGTCCTTCAAACTGAAGGCACACACGACCCAACTCGGCCAAATGAGCAACAAGGCCCTCAATGATATCCATCAGGTGCATCAGGTCAGCCTGCCATGACAGAGAGATGGGATGCCGCAGGCAGAGCCTAGAACCATAACTCCGTGTAAGGGTTATCTTCCCTGCCGAGACAAACAATGAGGCCACCAAGTGCTTTCTGGAATGTCAAGTGAGACCAAAACTCATTGAGGCTCCAGTTGTGCAACAGATCTAACAACACTGCTGACACCTGCTAGAAACTGTTGGTCTCAAGTAAGAGAACCTGCACCCTTAAAAGGTCTGGGTAGCCTGAGTGACAGAGTTGAAGGAATCCATGTTGGTATGATCAAGTTTAGACTGGATGACAGTACCTACTCTCTTTCATCCAACACCTGCTCACCAAGATCACTGAGTTCCATGAAGGAGTAGAAGGTAGATTCTAAATTTCTGAAAGGACCATCATGTGAAACTTTTGGGCTCTCTGCATCACAGTCAGTGAGGCAATAATTAGACACCGGAACCTGGGTACTAACAATGATTGTCAGGGTCAGCAGGAGCCCAGGCCTTGAACCCAGCAAATCACACCAAAGCCCAGTGTAAGCTGGCTTCTGCTGAGCTAATGGTTGGGTAAGTGCACCAGAGGTGATGCAGAGACTCATGGCAGGCAGTGTGCGCCAGAATGGCCTCCAGGCACAGGTCACTCTCTGCAGTTCCACTACACCGGGCCACCTCCATCTGCCACTACCAGGATTCTAGGCCTCTATTTTTGAATCATGAAAATACACAACACAAACTCAACCAAATCTATAGCACTTAGTGCTTCTGATTACTGACTGGATCCATTGCTGAAGAAAAACCTACAGAACTTAAAGATAATGGGCATTAAATTCTACCTTTTGAACTTCACATGGCCTGGCACGGTGAGTTTGTTGAAGCACATAGCAGAAGTGGAAGCTACATCTTGTGGGGGTGGAAGACATGTACAGTACGGCACTTCAACTGTCACTCGGGATACCCATATCCCATACCTGAATGCAAGCTTGAATCCCAACTGCTATACTTCTGATCCAGCTTCCTACAGCTGTGCCTGGAAGACAGCAAATCATGGCCCCAAAACATGGTATTTCTGGCATTCACAGACCTAGATGGAGCTCCTAGCTCCTGCTCAGCCACCTCAAACATGGCTTTGTGGGCATGTGGAGATTAAATCAACAGACACATCTCCTTCTCCTTTCTTTCCCTCCTTGCCATGCTGCCTTATAAATAAATAAATAATGCCTACTATTTATCTACTTCTTAAAAAATAGCTCCCACCCTCATTTCTGTGGTATAATTAATCATTTCTTCATCTAATCACTGCAAATGCTACTTTCATGCAACCATTCTACCTTCTGGTAGTTTTAATGCAAAACATTTCATATCCAGTATCTAATAAATATACAAGCTGACAAGTTCCTCTTTCTCTTACCCCTAGTTTTTACCAACTAACTCTCCATCTAAAACAATTCTTTTCTACATCACTAAAAAGTGATTCTATTAGTTTCCTAGGGCTGCTATAAAACATGACCAAAAGTGAATAGCTCTGAATAACAGAAATGTATTCTCTCACAGCTCTGGACGTCAGAAGTCAAAAACCTAGGTGTTGGCAGGGTTTATTTTCTCCTAGTTATTGCCAATGAATAAGCAATACCATTATTCGCTGCTCCTAGGCTCTGATGACAGCTGGTAACAGCAGCATTTCTTGGCTTGTGGATGCATCACTCTCCTACCTTTGACCGACTCTCTCCCTGTAACTCTGCCTTTCAAAATAAACAAATAGATACTTTTAAGAAAAACAGTTTCCTAAATTACATTTTCCAAAAACTCCCTTTCTAATTAAGGCCATGTCCAGAGGTACTGAGCCGACACATTTTAGGGCAAAAAAAGAGCACTATGCAATCCACTACAGCCACCATCCTTCTAGGATTAGCTGACATTAATTATCGGTACAAGGTTGCTTCTTAAAAAGATTTTAGAAACAAGTCACGTTATCCTTTGTCTAAATTGTGTTTACGTCCCATATTACTTATCTGATCATTTTCCTCAAGTGGATTCACTTTCTTAGAAACCCTTCTAGCATTTACATTAGTTATTATGAAAAAGTAGGCATGGTAGAACTAGATATCAAATGCTTTTAGCCTACAGTAACAGCATATAAAAATAGAATAACAAAATAGAAAACACAGAGTGAGTCTTACACTGTGACCTGAACAGTCTCCAATTGCACTGTTAACTTATGTTTTAATTTCTACCCACATGCTCTCATCAAAATACTCCTATAAGGTTAAACATACAATTTAAGCTAGTCACATACAAACCTGTCCACCATCTTGAGCACCATAATTTTTACATTATTACTATTACTTCACTCGTACATGAAATTAGTATCTGTGGTATGTAAAGGTTACCAGGAAAAGTTACTAGAATGTGTACATCATCATGGGGGTAAGCAAGACCCGGCTGTCTACAGGACTACTTATGTTGGCTTCCTCTAGATTACTAGTGTCAGTCCTGGCTACGCCACTTTTGATCCAGCCCCCACCCCCTACATGACATCTCAAGCACCAGAGTTCCTGTTACCCATGTAGGACTTCCAATGGCATGCCTGGCTCCTGCACTGAGCATAGCACAGTCCTAGCTGCCATGGTCATTTGGGGAGTAAGCGAGCAAACAGAAGATTAACTAATCAACCAATCATTCTCTCATGAACCACAGAGACATCTTTATGTGTATGTGTGAGATTATGTGTCAAATAAATATATATGTTTAAAGTGTGTGTTCTTAGTCTGTTTTCTGAAAGAAAAAAGAACCTTTACAAAATACAATCTAAAATTCTCTGAGACAAAGAGCTAAATATTTGGATTTATCAGGAAATGCAAGATCAACATCAATGTGAGGAAGGCACTTTCTTAAACAACTTCCACTAGAAAGGTCGTCACCTATGTTTTTCAAAGAACTGAGAAACACCACCTTTTCAGCTCCAAATTCAGGCTGCCACAAACCCCAACCTCTGTCCCACTGCACAGGAATATAAGAAGGGTACTCGGAATCTGGGAACCCTCTCTCTTTATTTACCTGAGGTGTGAACATACATAAAAGAGAAAGTTTCAAAATTGGTGTTAATTCTTTAAAGAAAATGGATCCAGTGATAGTAATGTAAACAGAACCATTAAATAAGTTAAGAAAGAATACAGAAAAGCACGGGGGAATAGCATCAAGAGAAACCAACACTCAATACATGATCAATGTCTTCCCCATCAGCCTGGGCAGAAGGGCACACATGCCACAGGGTCTCTGCCAGAGGAGCAAAGAACACAGAGCTCGACTCATACCCAAAACACTGCCTTTCCCATTAACATGTTTTTTTGCTTCACCACTGTTTCTGCAAGCAAGCCAAGGGTGTGAATAACTCATACCTCCACCAGGAATAATGGCCAACTTTGTTTCAACCAGTCCCATTTTTGCAGAAGAAGCTAAAAGGAAAGGAAGAAAATTAACATCTATATCATCATATTCAAATATGACAACCCCAAAAGTGAGTAAGACATATCAGAATATTCTGCTTAATAATTAAACTACTGTCATAATTTCTTTTAGGATCATTGCAAAAGATAGTCCTGACATAACAAACCATGCCATTTGACACACTAGTGGACTCACACACATTTTCTACTACAAATGGTCCAGTGGTCAATTCTTCTCAATGAATAAAGTCCACTTCACGAGAACTTTCGTTGCCAAGTCATACTGGAAAGCTCAGATCCCACCAATTCATCAGGATCAGGACGGAAAGTGTCTGACAAGCCCAACGGTGCCGTGGGTTCAACACTGCACGTATCACATCAGACAGAGCAGCTTCTACAGACCACCTGTCAACCACTCCCCAACGAGCACGCACGTGGCTTGCTCCATGGACAGCACAACAGGGCTTCTCTCATCAACCTGCTTTCAGGGTGTCTTTACAATGTCTAAATTTGTTCAAATGCAGTCAGACAACATTCCATATCCTAACTCCCAAAACCAGCATCTCTTCTGAAGACTAGGTGTACCTCATCTTTTCAATTTAAAACCCAATAATTTCACTGCAACGAAAAAGAAGTGGAAAGGAGGAAAATGTACACAAAGACTAGCAACTATCAGCCACCTAAGAGTATTATAAAGTGATTCATGGGGGCTAGTGCCGGGGCACAGTGTGCTGCTACGCTGCCAATGAAATACAATGTATCCTATCATAGTGCTGGTTCGAGTGCTAGCTGTTCTGCTAATAAGCACGTGGGAAGGTAGCACAGATGGCCAAGCACTTGGACCCCTACCGCCCAGGTGGTATACCTGGATAGCTTTGGGCTCCTGGTTTCCGCCTGGTCCAGCCCTGCTGTTGTGACCCTTGGCAGATTAAATCGGGAGATAAAGTTCCTTTTCTCTCTGACTCTCTTTTCTGTCACTCTGGATTTCAAACCAACAATTTTTAAAAAACACAAATTGTGTTGACTCTAGTTTCAATATGCAGCTATGTCAGAAGAGAGGGGAAGCAGGGGACAGTAGCAATGCTTCGCCTGGTTCTCAGGCTAGCAGCGCAGGGACACGGGCAGAGCTGAGACTCGGGGATGTGGTGTCCACATCAGTAAACAGAGCAGAAGAGTGCACACAGAGTGTGCTGGGACAGAACGGCAGTGTGGGCTGCACATATCACACAGCCAAGCATCACGCATCACACACTCTCAGCTCAGTCAGCAGGCTGGTTCCTGCTCCTCTCTCTGTCCCAGTTTCCTCCGGTACCATAGGTACAAGGCTTGCAATGACATGAATCATGTCAAGGGCATTGCACAGCACAGGGATCTGGGACCAGCAATCAGTAAGTGGCTGGCACTGACTGTTCCCATTTCTTTTCAAAATCATCTCACACAATCCTCAGAAAGCTATTCAGGAAGAAAGTGAACTTCAAAGACACTAAGTTATTATTACTGGAGCTAACAGTAATTAAGTGCTTAGAGGAAGCACAGCAAAAGATTAATTCACTTAACCTTCACAACATCAAGCATCATTTCCCCCCTTCAGGGAAGAGGAAACTGGTCTGACAAGAGCCAGACCAAAGATGCAGATTTTGCTTCATCTTAGCCCAACCCTGGTCTTAAGCAAGGACTTAGGTAGAAATTGTAGACTCAATTAAGCCCAACGAGTATCTTTTTACAAACGTTCCACTCAATTAGGAGAGACAAAACATATTAAGAATCACATGAAAAGTAAAACACAACCCACTTCAAAGGAATGTGTCCTTCACAATATGAATTCTCACCTGCTACTCGAATATCGCACGCTAAAGCCAGTTCAAGACCACCACCTAAAGCAAGTCCGTCGATTGCTGCGATCGTGGGCACCGGAAGGTTAGCTGAAACAGAAAATTCAAGTTTCTTCAATAAGATCATTATTGTGCCACGTAATTCATGTCATATTTTTTTTCCATGAATGTACTTCTAGATGGGATATAGGAACTAGATTTTTTTACCTGCAACAAAATATAAGCACTTTCATAATCAGCCTTCAAAGCAGTATGTAGTTAATTACAGTATACTATTCTATCACATGAATATAGAATAATGTCTTTAAGCCATCCCTTACTACATACTTACTTTCATAGATATTTTGCAAAATTAACAGAATATCAGTTCCATGACTAACCTTAAGCGCCTAATGCCATTGCTAAGATTCTTGTTACATACAAATTTCAATGTGAAATGACATACATAACTGGCAATGTTGTGATCCTCTATGAGCTACTTCAGTGCTCAGGACTCTCACTACCAAACAAGAAGGCAGCCATCCAGCCTGCCTGGATAAAGCAACACACTGCGACTGAGAGCAGAGGAGGATGTCAGGGGCAACGGGGCTGTACGTTCCAGAGAAGTGAGGCTCAGAGCCCTGCCCTGAGGAACGACCAGGAAAGGCCAGCCTCTCTCAAAACCCAAAAGCAGAAACAGAGTATTACTACTGGGATTGTGACAAATTACAAATATGACTTTTTTTATAACTAGCTGGAAAGTGATTACATTATTAAGGATTCTACGAAGCAAAGTTAGAATAATTTTATTTTCTACTATGAGAATGTGAAGCTGGTGTACACATCATTGCATGAGGAACTGAATTCCATCAAGGGTCATGTTGCTTCACACCTACTGTAAGCCATGGAAAGATGTTCTCTCACGTAGCAAAATCAGAACCTACCCAGGAGCACTGGAAACTGGCTGCATGAACCTAAATAAACACACTCCTTGGAGCAACTCTCATCTTCCACTCAATTCTACATATTGCCCTCAAACATGTGTCAACAATATCCCTAAAATTTGCTACCTTGCGACAGAGCTCTAGTTCACATACAGTCTTACACAAGTTCATTCTTTAGTAATAACGTACGGAGGCATTATGTCTTGGTAATTTCTATGGACTCCACTCTCTGAGAAGAAACCCATATGCATGTAAAACTGTTAAAAATGCATGTACAAGAAAAATGGCAGGACCAAGTTATTACATATTAGTAGCAACCTTGAAAGCAAAGGCCTAAATTCTCCAATTAAAAGATACAGAGGGATGAGTGGTTTAAAAAATAAGATCCATCTACATGCTGCCTACAAGAAAGAAACCTCATCAACAAAAATACACAGAGAATGAAAGGGAACGATTAGGAAAAGAAATGCTGTGCTAAGAGAAAGTGCAACAAGCAGGAATACCCATTTTAACAGACAAACAGACTTTAAGATGTTAAAAGATGCAAAGAGAGTCACTATGCATTAATTAAGGGATAAATTTAAGAGGTGCATGTGATTACAGTAATTGTATGTGCACCTAATGCTCGAACACCTTTCTATTTAAAACAAATGCTAATGTGTACTGAGAGAGAAATCCACTCCAATACCATAATAATGGGGAACTTCAACATCCCATTTGCATCAATGGACAGATAAAGCAGGCAGAAAAATCAGCAAAGAACAGAGATAATCTACACCATTAACCAAGTGAATCTAAATGATATCTGTACAGCAGCTCATCTTGCAGCAGCAGAATAAACTTTCTTTTTTTTTTTAAAGATTTATTTTTCATTGCAAAGTCAGATGTACACAGAGGAGGAAAGACAGAGAGGAAGATTTTCCATCCGATGATTCACTCCCCAAGCGGCCGCAACAGCTGGTGCTGTGCCAATCAGAAGCCAGGAGCCAGGAACTTCCTCTAGGTCTCCCATGCGGGTGCAGGGTTCCAAGGCTTTGGGCCGTCCTCGACTGCTTTCCCAACCTACAAGCAGGGAGCTGGATGGGAAGTGGAGCTGCCAGGATTAGAACCGGTGTACATATGGGATTCCAGCGTGTTCAAGGCAAGTACTTTAGCCGCTAGGCCACTGTGCTGGGCCCCAGAATAAGCTTTCAACAGTGCATGGAACATTCTCTAGGGCAGACAACATGTTAGGCCAAAAAACACGTCTCAACAAACTCAAAAAGACTGAATTGAACCAAGTATCTTTTCTGACCAGAGTGAGATGATGTTGGAAATTAGCAATGTAAGAAATTTAGAAAACACACAAACACATGGAGGTTGGATGAACAATATGCTCCTTAATGAATAGTGCATCACAGAACATAAAAACCATAATGAGGAAACTGCTCCACTCAGCTACATACCAACAACCTAGAAGGTATACATGTAATGGACAGGCTTCTGGACACACAACACTGACCAAAATGAGGCACTAAGACACACACAAGACAGAGACTGAATTAGTCAAAACTACGCTGCCAAAAAAACAAAAGGCCAGGACTGGATGCCTTCACTGCTGGATTCCGCCCAACATTTAAAGAAAATTAATCCCAACTCTTAAACTATTCAAAATAACTGAAAGGGAATCCTTCCAAACTCCTTCTGTGATGGCAACATCACCCTAATTCTAAAACCAGAAAAAGGTATAAGAGAACTACAAACTAACATTGCTGAGAAACATAGATGTAAAAAAAAAAAAGATAAAAAATACTAGTTAATTGAATGCAACAATACATTAAAAATAATCCACCCAACTAACATTTACCTCTGGGACACAGGGATGATTCAGCACATACAAATTAATAAGCGTGATACAATCAAAACAAACATAATAATAAAATCCCGGTTATCTCAACAGCTGCATGTGATGACATGTAAGATTATTTCATGATAAAAAAAGTAAGCAAATGGATATAGATTAACATACATAAACACAATCAAAATAATATACGACAAACTCATTGTCAGCGGCATAATGAAACGGGAAAACGTTGGAAGTATTTTCCACAAAGATCTGGAACCAGACAAGCATACCCACTCCTCACCATTGCTACCAAAACAGACTGGAAAAACTGCAAGGAACTGGCCTTAGCAAAGGTATTTGCATAAGACGCATGAAGCATAAGCAATAAAAGCAAAAATAGACAAGTGGAATTACATCAGGCTACAAACTTCTGCACAGCAAAGGAAACACCCAACACAGGGAAGAGGTAGCTGACAAAATGGAAAAATATATTTGCAAACTAAAAATCTGATAAAGGGATGATATACAGAATACATAAAGAGCTCAAGAAATTCAACAATAAAACAAAAAAATCCGATTGAGCATTTCTTTCGCCCAATTTTCCCTTCCCAACCCACTTACATCCTTATTTGCAGCCCACATGTGTCTGTAATCCCCTCACCTTTTTAAATAAACATTAAATTTTTTTTAAAAAAAGAGTAAAAATAAAACCATATTCATCTAAAAAGAAAGAGATGGACTATAAGGACATGAGTAGACATTTTTCAAAGGATGAAACCCAAATGGCCAAAAGACACATGAAAAGATGCTCAGGATCTCTAAACGTGAGGGAAATAAAAACCACAACGAGGTTTCGCTTCAACCCAGCGAGAATGGCTATCATCTAAAAATAAAAACACAACAAATGCTGGCAAGACTGCGGAGAAGGAGGGACCCTCCAATACTCTGCTGAGACGTCAACCTCTACAGCCTTTGTGGAAGACAACACGCAGATTCTTCAGAAAGCTGAAAACAGATCTTCCACGTGACCCTGGGAAGGTACACAGAGGAAATGAAATCAACATATGAAAGAGATACCTGTACTGCCATGTTCATAGTAGTTCACTTTATAATAGCTAAGATCAAGACTCATCCAAATGTTCATCAACTGATGACTGGATAAGAAAAGGTGATGTGTGTGTGTGTGTGCAGCCATAACACGGCAACAAAACCAGCACAAGTGGAGACCATCATGCTTAGTGAAATAAGCCAATCACAAAAATACCATGTTTTCTCTCATTTGTGGTAGCTAATACAAAGTGCACACACATACACACATATACATACACACACATATATATGTGTGTATATAAGTACTCATATATGTACATACGTGTGTAAGTATATGTGTGTGTGTGTGTGTGTATAAAATAGCTTGTCCGAGTGAAACTGACACCTTGAGATATGACTGTCTAAGGCTCTTGTCTCTACTTCTGAGGAACAGAAGTGGCTCTTCTACTTCCTGCTGAATGCTTTATTTAGTGGAGGATTAAGCTTCTGACCATAAAGTAAATTGAAGTATGCCATTGACAAATTGTAAGCAAAGTAAGAAAGGCAGGAGGAGCAAGAGTGGGAGCAAGAGAAGCAGAAAGAGAGGGCAGCTGGTAACTTCATGTTCTTAAAATTGTATATATGAAATCTGTTCCCTTTGTAGGAAAAACAATTGTTTAAATCGGTGTGTTTTTCTCTTGTTAATCAGCCTTAAGTTCAGCTTGGCTCCTGGAGGCAATCAAAGAGCTCACATCAAGAACTAAACAAGGGGGGGCCCAGTGGCTTGGTCTAGTGGCTAAAGTCCTCGCCTTGAACGCCCCAGGATCCCATATGGGTGCCAGTTCTAATCCCAGCTGCTCCACTTCCCATTCAGCTCCCTGCTTGTGGCGTGGGAAAGCAGTTGAGGATGGCCCAAGGCTTTGGGACCTTGCAGCCACATGGGAGACCTGGAAAGAAGTTCCTGGTACCCGGCTTTGGATAGGCACAGCACCGGCTGTGGCGCTCACTTGGGGAGTGAGTCATAGGACGGAAGAACTTCCTCTCTGTCTCTCCTCTGTGTATATCTGACTTTGTAATAGCAATAAATAAATCTTAAAAAAAAAAAAAAAGAACTAAAGGGTACAGTAGGCCTCTCCCTACAGTAGCACATCAGTTAAATGCACAAGTGCCACCCTACGATTCAGGGCTAGCATCTGCAGCGGCCAGTCATCCAGTGGGACTGAGCTCGTCCATGGTGGACCCTGAAGATGTCTAAGGAGAAAGCGGCAGAACTGAAGCTGATGTAGAATTGCCTACTCAGTATGTGAGGGGAA